AAAGATGGGGGGACCATTGAAAACATCTAGTCTGCCTGCCTGTGTAACACAAGTCACGGGTTTTTCCTGAATTTCTGTTTGAACTAAAGCGTATTTTTTAGGAAAACATCCAATCTTGATTTTAAAATTTCCAGTGATGGAGAATGCATCACTGCCCTTGGTAAATTGTTCCAGTGATGAATTACTCTCACTGTTAAAAAATTGCACCTTATTTCTAGTCTGAATTTATCCAGCTTCAACTTCCAGCCATTATATCTTGTTACACCTTTGTCTGCTAGATTGAAAAGCCCTCTGTTACCGAATTTCTGAGTTCTCAACATGATGTTGTGGCCAAAAGGGCTCATGTGATCTTTGGACGTATAAACAGGGGCACTCTGAATAGGAGTAGGGAGGTGATATGGCCTCTGTATTTGGCATTAGTGAGATCATCACTGGAATACTCTGTCCAGTTCTGGTGCCCTCTGGGGGGGAGGGATAGCTCAGTGGTTTGAGCATTGGCCTGCTAAACCCAGGGTTGTGAGTTCAATCCTTGAAGGGGCCACTTGGGGATCTGGGGCAAAATCAGTACTTGGTCCTGCTAGTGAAGGCAGGGGGCTGGACTCGATGACCTTTCAAGGTCCCTTCCAGTTCTAGGAGATGGGATATCTCCATTAACTACTACTGGTAAAAGGGTTTTGAAAAATGGGAGATGGTTCAGAGTGCAACGACAAGCATGTTGAAAGGACTGGAAAACTTGATGTATAGTGAGACATTTAAGGAGCTGGATCTATTCAGCTTATCAAAAAGAAGGTTAAAAGGCGATTTGATGGTGGTCTACAAGTACCTACAGGGGGAGACAATATCTGGTACTAGAGGGCTCTTTAATCTAGCAGAGAAGACAAAACAAGATCCAGTGGTTGGAAGCTGAAGCTAAAAATATTCAGATTGGGAATAAGACACATATTATTAATAGTGAGGGTGATTAACCCTTGGAACAACTTCCCAAGGAAGACGGTGGATTCTGCATCTTTAAAATCTTTAAATCAGGACTAGATATCTGCTCTTGTTCAACTACAAGTCATCAGGCTTAACACATGAACTACTAGATGCAGTTCTCTGGCCTGTGTATGCAAGAGATCAACTAGCTGATCATAATAATTCCTTCTGCTTTAAAACATATGAGTCTATGAATCAGTAATAGAGTCTGAACTCTAGACTGGCAGCCACACCACCTTCTCCTGTGATCCCAGATCTGAACAGGACTGGGCTTGATCAGCATTTGAGTGGAAAAAACCCTCTTAGGTACCACTGCAGGAAGTGGTGCTGGTGACATAGTAGGTGGCACTTTTCCCTCTGCGTCAATATTGAACCAGTAATTCTGCTACTGGAGGTGCTGCTTTTCCAGTTAAAAGTAAATTCTGTGAGGTCTTGACCATTTGTGGTCTTAAGGAGCCTCTGGGACTTTTTGCAAATGCAGAGGTGTTAACCTTCATATCTTGGCAAATTCCATCACCAGTAATTATATTTAGCCTCCCTGAATTTCCCTTTTAGTTTAAATCAAATTAAGTGTTGTTCTTCATTTCCTCTCCCAAACCACTGTGCAGCATTACTCTGCATTGTTAAACAGGTGCTGGTTTCCACACCAGCGGTGGTTGCCCTGAAAGGGCTAAATGAAACAATCCCTCTGTATTTCTCATCTAAGTCCCACGTTGCTGTGTAGCTTAGTTAAACTAATGTTTCTAAAGTGCTTTGAGATCCTCAGATGAGAAAGGTGCTGCAGAAGTATCGATACAATATTTTATCATCAAAATTCGATATGGTAACATGACGTCATTACTAGGTAGAGTATAAGAATATACAAAACATCCTTGAGTGTAATAAAGAAAAATATCCAGCAGGAATTTCATGGCCTGAATCCTGATGACACAGAATAACAGGCAGTTCTGGGATTGATGCTGGTGATCTTTGAAGTCAATGGCAGAACTCCCATTATCTTCCTAGGATGAGGTCCTATTCTGAGCACCTTTACCTTCTCTGCGGCCTGCGACTCCTTCTGTCTGTCTGAGCTGATTGTCCTAGGCTGCAGCTATTGCTTTGCTGAATAAGTGTATCTGAAAGGTCAGAGGTAGCTCTAATTGCTGGCCTGAGGCAGAGGCAACCAGGCAGAGATACAGATGAAATTCCCAACAGAGCTTAAATGTTCTTATAATTTTCCATATGGGGATGGATTTTTAACATTCCTAAAAGGCCACCACACATTTCTAAAGTATTATTACATGCTGTGGGTCAGTGTGTGGATTTGTAGGCTCTGGAATGAAGAGATCAGTGTGTGAGTAGGTGGTGGATCATCCAGCTAAACACTCCAGGATCTCAGACAATGACATGCAATAGTCTTGCCTCTCAGTGGCTAGAAATCTGATAGAAATGTCAGTTACCAAAAGCACTTGGGAATTCTCCTTAGTTCAACTGGGAGAGATGCTGCTTCGGCATTTGAGTACCTGTTTTGAAGTCCTAGCAAGGGTATAATCCTCATGCAACATGAAGATAAATCCATAGCATCTAATATTGCAACATATTTTCAGGGGGCTGCTGAAAGAATCCAGGTGTGTGGAACTTGCTTTTGTCCACATTAAATCAAATTCTCCCTTTCATTTAATTCACATGATTCTTGGTAAATCTTTCACAGGACTATCTGGAGCTACGCAGATGACAGCATTGTCTATTAGTTATAGCAGTGGGCTACTAGTCAGGACTATTAAGCTTAGCTCCCTCTACTAAGGTACATATATAGCATCCATTACTAGTGTCTGAACTCCTCATAATCTTTACTGTATATATCCTCGCAACACCTCTGAGAGAGAAAAGATACACAGGGACTAAGTATCATACCGAAGGTGACAGAGGCAGAGAAAGTAACTGAACCCAGGTCTACCGAGCCTGAAGTTAACATGCAAACCACTGGACCATCCTGCCTCACTTATGTGGGGTGTGATCTTGGACAAAGACTTGATGACGTTAATTAATTCAAGTTTGTTAATCTCCTTGAGATCTTTGGTTTAAAGGCACTATAGATGGACAAAGTATTACTAATTATTAAATATTATTATTCCCAGTTCCCTACCATTTGATACAGAATAACAATAATGTAGTCTTCTCCAATAATCTTTTAAACTGTATTTTATTAAGTTCGTCCAAAGCAGTTTCACTCAAATGTATCACACTCATTGGTAGAGAGAAAAAAATGGGAATATGGGAATGCCCATACATACAGGATCCGATCTGTGGACATCTGGTCCAGTATTCAGTCTGATAGTGTCCAGCACTAGATGCTTTAGAGGAGGATGCAAGACCCCCACAATAGGCAGCTGTGGGATAATCTGCCCCCCACATTAGGTCTCATCTTGATTTCTAGCAGCTAAAGCTTGGACTAAGACTTGAAGTCTGAGGATAACTCTGGGTATTCTTGATATCCATATAAAAGTCAAGTTCCTGTTTGAATCTTGCTAAATTCTTGGCTTGCACAACTTCCTTGGCAATGAGTTCCACAGTCTAACTATGCATTGTCTGAAAACTATCAGATAAATGTATACTGGGAACTTGTGTTAGGTCTCTACCTAGGTACTTAGATTAGATTTATGCAGCATCAAATGGGGTATAATCCAGTGCCCAATGGGTTAGTATAGAGAAGGAACATCTGTCTGAGATTCACTCAAGACTGGGATACTGTAATGAGGTCTGCACTGACAAATCCCTGCACCAGTAGGGCACTGCATGGACACAGAGGTTTCCAACATGGAGTTCACTGTAGGATCATGGCCTAAATAAAGGACCTGGATTGTCTGGTCTGCTAAATTCACTTTTCACTATGAACACAGCACAAAGTGGACTAAAAGCAGCTGGAGTCTGGAGAGAAGCAGTGAAGAATTCCCCTCTTGCAGGGGAACTCACTGCTGGCAAAAAGATGGTGGAGATGGCTCTATTGCTTCTTGTGACAGCCACCTCCGCATAGTAGGGAAGGGAAGGGTGGCAGCGCAGCAGCTCTTGTTCCAGGGCCAGGGGGCTCAGGGTAAGGGAGCAGCAGCTGGCTGTAAGCGAGTGGGAAATCGGGCCCTCTATCTTTCAGATAGCGCATGATTTGAAACCACCGTAAAAATCACCGACTATGCAGTTTAATTATTTTTAAATCTTCAACACTGATTGTATCCTGTAAGATGGCGAAGCCAAAGAACATGTTTTCTTTTAATACTTGTGAGCCTGTTCAATTCAGAAGACAGATTGCACAGGGACTTTGTCCTCCGCAGCGGCTTTGTTTTTGCAGTGTATAACTTTGTTTCTAGCTCTGTTTTTGCAAAATAGTGTAACTTAACTGGTTAATTAAAGTGAGCTCTGTGGCATCACTCATCATGATTTCGCGACCCACAGAGGAAAATATGTGCCTTGGAAACAGGTGTATTCCCTCAACTGCTTTCAAACGTGTGTTAAACCAGAAAAAGGCACTTTCATTCTGTAATAAGAATGTCCACACGGGGCTTTACACTGCTATAACTAGAGTGGTGTAATTGACTGGCATAGCTGTGCCGGAACATTTCCCCGTGTAGGTAAGCCCACAGAAAGAAAGGAAATGATTTCGGATTTCCATTGTGTCACAGAGCAGGGAAGCCTGTGATGTCAGGTGAGTTCAGATGCCTCTTGAGGACAATCAGCAGGCTCTGTCATTTCTAAGGAGGGAATGAATCACTTGGGGGGAGGGAGAAATGAATCATAAAACTACCGCCTTTCTTAAGACAGCATGATTCTTTTTCCTTCAGCAGAGAAGTTCACTTCTATATATCTGAGGAGGGGGAGAGGAGGAGAAGGTGCGGGAATGGGGGTGGGTTTCAAGGTGCAGTGTTCCTTTAAGAGTCGAATGGAATGTATCAAAACAAAAAGGCTGCTCGGGCATTGGCTGTGAGGTCAGCACGTGAGTTCACAGCTGATTTCCTGGCTTTTTTGTGTGTCTCTCTGTGTGTGTGTCAGTTTCAGCAGGCGCACATCATGTCTCTCCCCGCCGGTCATCGTTCTGTACCTTCCCCCTGCTGACCAGGGAGAGAAGGAGCTGGTCCAGCCCTAGAAATAACTACATCTCTCTGTCCCCGCACAGACGTTAGGGAAAAAAACAACAACCAAAATTCCAAGAAACAGCCCACCCAGCAACATGGCACATGCAGCTCAGCTCAATATCCTGGAGCAGAACTGCCCCATCCAGGTGGAGCACGATCGCAGGAGGAGACAATTCACAGTGCGGCTGAATGGTAAGGTCCCGGCTGAGCCTGGGATCTCACTTTTCTTTCTTCCCTTTCTCTCGCTGTCCTCCACCCTCCCCCCCCCCCGGTTTTCTATCTTTTGTTTGCAAGTAAAGCAAAGAGGCTGGTAACGAGAAGAGTGCCCTCTAGCTAAACCAGGGACTGGCTTTCCTCTCACAGCTAGGGAATTCTCTCTCTTCCTTTCCCTAAATTATTTTACAGCAACATCGAGGGTGGTTATGCAACAGATTAGTTTTGGTGTCAACAAAGAGCCACTGAATATCAGAGCTATAGAGGAGGTAAAGGTCCAAGGAACGTGCCTCAATCTATTCCCCATGCAAGCTCTTCTCTCGGTAACCTTCCCCATTCCTCTCTCCTGTCTTTGTTACTTTCTGGTAAACTGCTGCTGTATCTGTTCTGCTCAGGTTGGTAGAGGAACACCTGTCTCTGTAAGATCTATTTATAAACATTTTTAGCTGTGCACAGCTGGTTATCTTTTCTGACCTGAACAGGAGGTCTGTGAATCGCCAAAGCTTGTCTCTTCCACCGACAGAAGTTGGTCCAATAAAAGATATTATCTCACCACTTTGTCTCTATTTATAAACAGGTCACTAAGGTTGATACTACCCACTTCTTCCCTTTTCTGTTAACTGCCTTGATCGCCAAGCCCTCCATATATACTGAGTAATCCTTTTTTTTTTTTTTAATTTAAACTCCCCTCACTGACACAACTAACTAGCCCTGGATCTTGTGCTCAAAACTAACAGGAGCAGATAGCAGGTTGTTGGTTAAATACCTTTTTGTTTTTTAGACTGCGGTGGAAAGGCACAGAGTGGAAATGGCAGACTTTCTATAAATTACCCTGGAATGTGAAAGATTATCCATAGCATGCAATTTTCAGGACGGGGAGATAATTTTGATAGGTGCTTACAAAATAACATTTTAAATGCAGATGGGAACTTCTTGGAGTGTGACTTCTCTGGCTTTGGTGCTCTCAGTAAATTGCACATAATGGAAGTGTTAAGAAGCCAGGTTGCAGATTTAAAAAAAGAAGTAATTTCTACCTTGGAGTGTAGAGTTGTAGGAGGAGGAAGAAAACTGTTAGGCCTTAATTCTGTAAACACTTATGCATATACACCTCTACCCCGATATAACACTGTCCTCGGGAGCCAAAAAATCTTACCGTGTTATAGGTGAAACCGCATTATATCGAACTTGCTTTGATCCGCCGGAGTGCGCAGCCCTGTCCCCCCGGAGCGCTGCTTTACCGCGTTATATCCGAATTCATGTTATATCGGGTCGCGTTATATCGGGGTAGAGGTGTACTTAACTTGACTACTATGAGCAGTCTCATTGATTGAGTGGGACTACTTGCAGTAGTCAAGTTAAGCACATGTGTAAGTATTTGCAGGATTAGGACCTCAGGCGACAAACTGGTCTATAACATTTAGAAAATAGAAATTAAAGCTTGATGTAGCTAAATAAATTTGAAGTCCTGTCCAAGACCCCAATCCTAAAAGTGCATGACCCATGTGCAGAGAGCTCTTTGCACAAGGCTGGGGAGGTCCTGGATCTGATCTGTTATAGGCCCAACCCTGTGACCACTTAGCACAGGAAAAATCCTACTGAAATCAGTAGAACAACTTATGGGCGTGTTTGCAGGATCAGGGCCTATTATAGTTAGTAATACCATAACAATCTGGTTCTAATGTGGACCCTAGTAGCTATCCCTTTTGCTGCATTTGATTAGCTGTAAGAATGAGAAATGGGCACCCAACAATATCTCCTGTTGTCAGGCAAAAATTTTCTCAGCCAGTTTTAATGGTTAGTTCCAAACATACAAAGATCCCAAAGGCTGTTTTGGTTCAGTTTTGTTTTTTTGTTTAGTTGAGCAAAATAGCCTGTCGTCCAGCTCCACAGAAATTGCAGGGTAGATTGCTTAAAAATGTCAATGGATAGTTCAGAAATTATATGTGCAGTAGGAGGCATTCTCAATAAAACAACAAGACTAGTCCTACGTTTTATTCTCGTTTGTCTGTCTGTTTGTTTTTTAAACCACTAATTACAAGCGCAATCTTCAGGCTCAGCAATGGGTGAGAAGGACAGGACAGGACACTAAACATTGCAAGCTGAGTATGGGGAGACAGAGAAACTGATCAAGCCAAGCAGTCTCTTTGAATTGCAAGAGATCAAAATAAATCCATTGTGATGGGTTCCCACTGGAAACCTCTATGTTGTGGAGTCATAAATTGGTGCCATTGTTTAAAATGTTTGCACGTGCAAAAAGTGAGGGGAAGACTATGGGCAGAAGATTATTAGGGATTTAATTTCTCATCAGAGTACTCCAGATTAAAATCTCTGGCAGTCAGATTGTTGGCAAGTGACCCTCAGCAGCTGGAAAAGGGGCTGGTGGAAAATACACTTCAAACAAACAGAAAACCACCAATTCAAAAATGTAATGTGGATAAGCTAATTTCAGCCTGGCACAAAATGAGTCACTTCAGTATCGGACTGATTTAACTCCTGTGAGGTCAATGAGAATCACTTCAGTGGGAGCTGGATTGGGTCCCAGTGGTCAGATTTTCAAGAGCTCGGTGCATTGGCTGTCAGTGCCTCAGTGGTTGCTGCTGGCTATGGGGCATGTGAGAATCTGGCTCGGAGTTCTCTTGAAAACTTGGTCCTCCATGATTCCAAATGCAACATCTCAGCAATGGTATGATGAGCTACTCATATTACTGTTAAGTACTTCTATGCCATTGTTCATCTGCATAGCTCAAAACACTGTATAGAAATTTAGTAGTATTGTATCCATTCTACAGATGGGGAAATGGAGGTGCAGAAAAATTAAGTGACTCAACTAAAGGTCACATAATGAATTAGTGGCTGAGCTGGGAATAAAACCACCAACTTGTCCTAACCGTTCGAATGTGCTCCATGTTTATTGCCCCAATGTCAATCAATCTATTTTTATTTTCATATTATTGTTAGCCATTAGTGTATAAAATCAAAACCTAGAACGCAGTCACAAGATAAACATCTCTCATTAGGAGAATGGAAACAAGCATCAAGCCATAATAAATCTCTAGCAGTGAGAGACCTTCCATCTGTCCCATTTCTGCTGTGAGTAACTCAGTGGCACTTTAATGCCCTTGTTTGAATTCTCCCTAATACAGCAAACCTGCAAACATAGGTGGATCTCCTGTGAGTTCGAACGGGTACCCAGATCACAATGCTCTTGTCATATGCAACATGATGCAGGCGTACCAACATTCTCTGATCCCCTCACATACCATCTATGGGCTTCAGGAGTCATTGCTAGTTCAAAAGCATCTAATGGTACTGGTGTGCCCAGGGACGACGAGTATGGGGGGAAGCCTGTACAAATTACCGGGGCCCGGCGGTCCAGAAGGGGGCCCGGCTTCCTCCCCCTCTCGTCGACCCTGTTTAGCCGGTCTGCCCTTGCTGGGGGGCCCGAAATAATTTTTTTAACCGGGGCCCTAACCCGCTCTCGGCAGCCCTGGGTGTGCCTGAAACACAGAAGTAATTGTATATAGATTAAGAACGTGTCAGTATCTATAGCTGTTCATGGTTCATCATTGTTTCCATTTGCTCACTGTGCGTAACCTGATGATGAAATTCTCGTCTCTCACGTGAGGCATATTAATCATCTTAGGGGGAACTCTTAGCTTCCCCCCATTTCTCCCCCCAAAAATTCTTTGTCATATATGGCTTCTAAAATCCTGAATAAAAACAGCTGTTCCATTTAACGCATTCCCATTCCTTCTTTGCCTCCCAAATGCTGAAGCATCAGGACCTGAAAGTGAAACTGGCTATAAACAGACTTTGCTGAGTTTCATTGTCCCACCTGAAGGAAATGCAGAAAGTAAGAAGCCAACTGGGTTTTTAATCAGCTAAGGTGTTGTTAGTAACATGGGCGAAGAAAACGGTTCACAATATGATTTTCTTTTTAAGCTGACAGAGCTCCTTTAACATACCACGGCTGTCCTCTCCAACTACTTAATCTTGAGGTAAATTCTCAACAGGAAACTGTTTTAAAAAAAAAAAGTGAGTCCCTCTGTTTTCTAAGTAAGTCCCTTTCAGTGGCAGTTGCATTGTCTCTGCTTAATACTGTATGCTGTGGTCTGTTTGTTTTCTCCGTAGTAACATGCCAGTTGCTTGGTGTCATTGCTAAGAAATCTGGTCTTGCTCTTGGTAGAGTGCTCCCTGGATCAGACGATGCAGTAGCTTCTTAGAACAATTTGTTCCTCTTAATTCTGCCTTTCTCTTCTGCAGTCACTTCCTCTAACAGCTTTAATGATCCTCTTTGAACTCCCCAGCCATCAAAGTTTAGGAATACTGTCCGATCTGCATTTCCTCTCTGGGCTGAGAGCTGGGGAATGATCTAGTGAGGAGAAAATAAAACCATTCCCTGGGAGTGGCTTCTACCTATTTTTAAGGAACTGTGCCAGTTTACCAAAGTTGGAGTCAGATTCACTGACAAAGTCTGGAGGTGTTACTCTGGATTTACGCCAGTGTAACTGAGATCAGAATTTGGCCCAAAGGCAGCAGCTCGTGTCAGCCCTACCCTTCAATGCATTGGGTGCACACAATGCTCTGTTGTGGACTGGAACATGCAGAAGCAAATGGCAGGGAAACATCAGAGACCACCTGCTTTCAGTCTCATCTATCTAGTATCTGAACATCTCCCACCTCTTTAACGTAGCACCCCTGTGAGGGAAGGAAGTACTAGTTTTCTCCTTGCACAGACAGGGAACTGACACAGTGAGGCTAAATGACTTGCCTGAGGTCACGCAGGAAGCCTGTAGCAGAGCAGGGAAATGACCCCAGGTCTTCTGAGTCCTAGACTAGCACCCTACCCATTGGACCTTCCTTCCTTCGTGGCCTCATGCTCCTCACGAAAGTCTCAAGCAGTAGTAGTGACTAACATCCTAAAGCCAGAGAGCCGTTTGAAAGTGGAGAGGGTGAGAAGCTGGCGAGACAGCACTCTT